TCTCCACCTCTGCAGCTGGCTAACAATGCAGTTTAAACTCTCAGCATTAAACTCTAGTACTCCAAAAACAGATTTTCTACAGCAACGAAAATAATCACATTTCTAACTCTTCCAGTGACCTATCATAAAATCAAGGGCCAAAAACCTTTCCTGTCTCTTGAGAAAACACCTGGCTATAGGCTAGTCACAATATTCCCAACTCTAAGGAACTTACACATCTTTCTGGAAGGCAACCCTGAATGCTGTCACTGTGAAGTTTCACTAACCAAGCACAAAGGCAAACAATGAACAAGAAAAAACAAACAACAGCTGTCCAGTTTGGTAAATGGCAAGGCCGTTAATGGTCAAGTGATGTCACCTCATTCTGCTCATCCCCACCAAATCCAGGGCTCACTGGTGTATTTATCTCCTCTTTGTCACTGACACTCCATATGGAGTGTCAAACTGGAGATGATGAAGAACAGTATCTTTGTAACTACTTAGGTGACTACATATAAGCAAACTAACCCAGTGGCTAACACTCCATGCTCCCAATGCAGGGGTGCGACCCCATGGACTGTAGCCCACTAGGCTCCTCTGTCCACGGGGATTCTCCAGGCAAGAATATGGGAGTGGGTTGCCACGCCCTCCTCCAAGGGATCTTCCCAACCCAGGGACTGAACCCAGGTCTCCAACCTTGCAGGCGGATTCTTCAGTGTCTGAGCCTCCAGGGAAGCCCCCCAATGCAGGTAGGTGGGTTCAGTCCCTGCTCAGGGATCTAGAGCCCACACACTGATCTAGAGTACACACACTGCAGCGAAGATCTGGTATAGCCAAATAAATTTTTTTAAAAACTGCTCTGTTTTTCTCCTTTACATATAATAACAGTTGGTGAGGCATACTTGCAACAGGCTAGACCTACCATTCCACACTAATGCTAGAGAGTTCACTGGTAAATTTAGCAAATTTCAATGAAGGCAAATTAGTGTCTTAATAAAAGAGACAGTGCATCCCAGAAAGTACCAACTGTGAAATTCAATTTCCATTTACACAATGATATGTTACACTAAACCAGCTAACATCACATCAGGGTTAGTGTAATACTAATGAAAATTTAATATTAATACTATAAAACATGGAGGATAAAATCTTGAAGAGTCAACATCTTAGAGCACATTAGGGTTGGTGGGTAAGAAAAATGAGAAGTTCTGCAATCTTCAACTATTACATGCTTAATCATTCCACTAGCAAACACAATGACCTTTAAGTGCTAAATTCTTTAACTAACAATTATTGAGCACATACTATGAAATGAGTATGGTGGCAGGGCACTTCCAGGTCACCAAATACTCCCACACACTGCACTCCCACAGTACTCCCTTCTATATTACTGTAGCACTTAATATATTGTGTGTTATCTATAAATTTAATTCGTAAAACATTTAGAAGTTATTATGCCCATTATCAAATAAACACAAAAAAAGAACCTTAAAATAGAATTCCTAATATTTTATTCCCACCTCCCATGGATAGTCCTACATACACTTTGAAGTATATACTGTATATTTCAGTGGAAAGCATTGACCCAGGTTATAAGAGAGGGGGTCTCAGTCATCTCTGTTCCTTCAATGTCTAAGTAGCCAATGCTCAGTAAAAATTTGCTGAATGTATGAGTAAAGAGACACTTCAAAATGTGAATCCACAACAAAATTTCCTGACATCACCTAGCTGCTTAGTCTAATATAACTGCCAATTCTACTCAAAGAAAAGGATTGGAAGAAATTTACCCATTGTATTGTATTACCACAATTTAAATGCTAAGGACAATTTTAATTTAGCCAATTCTTACTTTAAAAAAAAAAAAGCCTTATAATTCTATTTCCAGAATGATGCAAGGAAAGGAGGAGCATGAAAAAAGAATTAAAAAACTGGAGAAGATATTCTGAGTTCTGAAATGCTCTAAACTGCAACTCCTTCCATTTGTTTGGTTTTTTTTTTTTTAATGCTATGCTCCAAGCATTTAGAATACATTTTTAGGAATACACGGCCACAAACTTAAGATGCAATAAAGAACTGAAGTAAAGAGATGCAGAACTTATCTGCTAAAATTTTCACTATCCATAAAGTATAGTAAGTATATTATACCTTAGATAATATATGCAATTTAACTAGAGTCAAGCCTTCAAGGGAAAGCTTGTGTTCTATTTAAGAAAGATAGAGATACAAGCCAAAAATAAAAGTTACCACTAATACATCTCCTTTGAAAAAAAAAAAGGTTAAGGTATACTTCAAGGAAACTATTAATTTTTATTAAGCTGATATACAATGTAGCTAAAATAGTATCCAAAAGCAATCTTCTAATTTCGAGAGCTTATGAAATGTAAACAAGTCACTAGACTGCCCTTTCACTCAGGTCCAGTAGGTGTTATCTGTCATTAACATAACACTGCATTTCCAAGGCCCCATTCAGCAAGATAAACAGCCAGTAACTCCATATCTGAAGGTGGCAATACGTACTTGACTTTTTTTTAATACCACCTAATTATGGTTAGGCATTATTTTGGGCTCGCTACTTTTAAGTAAAGCCAAGCAAGTAGGTATTTCAATAGTCTGTCAAGATAGCTTTTTACTTGTACAATGATTCATATAACACACATTGTGTATTTGTCCTATCACCCTCCCCATTCACCTTATACAATATAAGCAAGCAGCTAAGACTAACAGATATAAGTTTTAGTACCTATTTAGATTATTTACATGCCTCAAAAAAGTTCTCAAACTATTTTCTAGCTCTATCAAAAGCTTTATTAATTCCTTCTACAACCTTAATAAAAAAATTCTATATCAAAGCCTTATTTAACAAACAGTATCACATTCAAAAGAACTACCCACTTTATTTATTTTTATTTATTTAAAAAGCTCATCTCTTCTCAATGTTATACAGTGGCAGCCTAGATGGGAGGGGAGTTTGGGGGAGAATGGATATAGGCATATGTATGGCTGAGTCTTTTCCCTGTTCACCGGAAGCTATCACAACATTGCTAATTGGCTATACCACAATACAAAATAGAAGGTTTTTAAAAAAGCTCCTGGTTTACATTTAGAAATGCTGTTTTATCAACTTGCTTCTCTTTCTTGCCTTAATCTTCCTCTGCAGCAAAAATGATAAAACATAAATTCATTCAAACAAGTTAAATAAGATTTTAACAAATATTTCGCTGCCTCTTCAAAGATAGGTTTTAAAATTCAACAAGCAGACAACTTCGTAACAAACTGAACAAAGACCTTCAGTCAAATCAGTTTAAAATACACCAATTGTTAATTTCCTTTATATTTACAAAGGTAGAATCTTATTTTATATGTGGCTAGAGTTAGATAAAAGCTTAATTTCCGAATTCCTTAATGTCAGCTAAATCACCCTCAAACTTAAACTAAACACCTCTAAACCTTGAAGTTGTAAATCAGTTTGACTGAAGTCCTCTTCCATGCCGTGTAAGCCATTGCCTAATTGAGGCCAGACCTGTCAGGCTCAACAGCATCCCGGAAATGACTAGCCTACTAGAGCTGGAAACACATCAAGAATTTGGACTATTTCTCATATTGAAGCAAGGAAAAAAGTTCAAGCAACACTGCCCATAAGAACAATCAGTATACTGTTCCACAGGGTGAAAAAAGACCTAAAAGGCGTATTTTTGTTACTCTGGTCATTTCACAAGGATATATCAAAATTCTGTACGTAATTTCAGGTGATGGCCCAATGAACTTACCCCTTTCCTTCCAACATACGAATAAGAGTTCGCTACTAAATTCTCATACTGAATGCCCGTCTTGTAATCTAGTTCTTTTCTTCAGCTACTAATACCATCACCTGGAGCATGGCTGGTTTCTTGACTTAGAAACCTGTTAACAATAAATGCCTAACACCTAAGCTGCTTAATGGTTTTTTTTTTTTTTACTTTTCACCAAGAAATACAAGCACAAGCGCGTGTGCGCGCGCGCGCGCGCACACACACACACACACACACACGCTCAAATCCCAGTCATGAAAAATTAAGTCACATTCCGGCCATAAACTGAGCAATAGACACTTCCAGTTAGCGTGTGCTTTAGTGATCATGGACAGTGGTATCAGATTAAGTGGTAGGGGGTTGGGGCTGTTAACAACACACTGCATCAGAGCCAATAAGTAGCAGGCTAGAACTGGCAGCAAGAAGGCCGGTCTCTAAAGGGAGCTATAACACAGTATCAGAATGCTGGATTTCCGAATGCCATTTTATGGGGAGAGAGGGGAGGCGAACTGGGGATCAAGTGCAATGAAAGGTTCTGACCAATGTCTGAGGCGATGAAACCGAAGACAAGGTCTTGTGGCAACACCAGCTGTCCAGTCTCATCTCACCTCAAACACAACTCAATTTCAGGTCGTTCTCATCAAAGTCAGCCGCTCAAAGGGTGAGGGGGTGACAGGTAGTGGATGGTAACAGCCCCCCAAGAGACTGGCAAAAAGCCCTTGGAAACGGCAGAAACAGCACACAACTGGAAGGGGCTTCTGCAAGCGAAGAGAGAGCATTGCAGCCGCCTTCTCCCTGCCTTCCAGCCAGGGCTGTTAGGTACGAGGTTAGGATGTTGCTGGAGGGTTTATGAACGAGTGATAGGAGAAAATGGCAGTAAAGGAAGGGGTGGGGGCTGCAAAGGGCTGGTGCCACCCAAGGAAAAAGGGGAGGAGGACTTCCCTGGACACATCCAGGAGAACAACGCCACCAGACAGCACGGTCAGCGCCCTGTCAGCGCCTGACACCCCTCTCTCTGGGAAAGCTTCGCCCCCGTCCACACGATCCTAATCCCCAAACACTGCTCCCACCCGACCCTGCTCCCCCGCAAAAATCCCCATCGTGGCCTCCTTTCCCTTCCGCCTCAGGCGCCCCACGCCCTCAAGCTCCCCTCCCCTTCCCCGGTCACCCACCCTCCGGGCGGCCCGTCGCCGGCCTCCCCGGCAGCTCGCCCAGACCCCTCCCCCCCCTCACCTCTCCTCAGCGCCTCCTCGTAGCTGAGGAATCCGATCCGTGACTCCTTGGCGCCCATGCTCCCTTCATCCCCTCGGCCGGGGGTCGGAGCCCGCTCTTGCCCCCACCCCCCTCCCGCCTTCTCCTCGGCGTCCCTGACTGACGGTGTCGGCGTCCCCCGGTCCCCACCTCCCCCAACACTAACAAGTGCGGCTTCTGCCCCGGCGGCTCCTCCCGGGCGCCGCCACCGCCTCCATGCCGAATCACGTGACCCGCTCCCACCCCGCCCCCTTCCCCTCCCTCTTACTCCGCCCTTCTCCTCTCTCCTCCCCTCCCTTCCCTTCCCTCCTCACGCCCTCTTCCCGCCCCCTCCCTCCCGCCTGCCCCGCCGAGGGTCACCTGACCCGAGGCCGGGGATTGTTCCGGGGAATGGCCGCCAGGGGCCACCCACTCCGCCCCGCCTCACGCTTGCCGCGCGCAGGGGCGTAGGGGCGGGGCCAGACCCTGCGCGTAACGCATCATCACCACCTTCAGGCCAATCCGAAGCGGCGAGGCCCGGGGGCCTCCGCCCGCCTGAGGGGTGGTGACTTCCGGGGCGCTTGAGGCCGTCCTCCCGCCCACAAGATCTGGCACTCGCTGGGCGGGGTCGTAACCCTTGACGGTTGTTCTGACCGTGGCCCAGAGCCGTCTGGAATGAGAAATGGAATCTTTGGGAACTGGGGTCCGAGGGGTGCGGTTCGTGAGAGAAGGGAACGGGCAGAAGAGGCATTCCTGACGTTAAGGACATTTTTGATTAGGAAGGAAGTTGTGAAAGGAAAGGAGACTCAAGGGTTTCACTAGAGAATTCTCTATCCTAGTGGAGTGATTCTTAAGGAAAGTTAACCTGGTGACAAAATTTAGAACATCTTCCTTTTCCCTTTAATCCCATCCCCCCACCCTTTGACGCTGGGTTTTCTTTCACTTACGCAGAGCCAATTTGCCTCTGGGCGCATCTCCTGCTCTGCGCCTGCCTCTGGTACAGACAGCCCTTGGAAGCTGTTGTGCAAAAGCTTAGTTTATCTGCAAGAGTTGCTCCCCACCAGAAATGTGAGCGTTACAAGACTGATTAGAGATTTCCTTGCGCTTTTCTTTATTATTTTTAAATTGTGTTAAAATATGAATTTGCCATGCTAATCATTTTTAAATATCTCAAGAGCAGAATCACACAATATTTCCCTTTTTGTGATGGGTTTATTTCATTCAGCATAGTGTCCTCAAGATCTGTCCATGTTGCAGCACAGTATCAGTTTCCCAGATTTACCATGTGATCCAGCACTTCCGGTTGTGACTATATACCCAAAAGAATTGAAAACCCGGACGGGAACAGATACTTACATCTCTGTCTTTATAGAACATTATTCAAAGTAACCAAAAGGTAGAAGCAATGAAGTGTCTCAACTGGACAGATGAATAAGTAAATGTATATCCCTACAATGGAATAAATTCAGTTCGTTCCTTTTTTTAATTCAGTTTGTCTGGATAGGGAAACACATTTGTTTAAAAAATAATCATTTGGATTAGATTAGATTCAAGGTGATACTTACGTAATTCAGGGACAGCAAAAGGGTTTTAGTTGCTAAAGTCAACAGATTATAATATGCCCTGCTAGAGAGAGAAGGTAATAACTCTCTACTCATTTTTCCTGGCAGACCAGATCAGCAGCCTAGCATTAGTCACAGTGCTGCCCTTTCCAGTTCACTGTGAGGTAGTTAATTTTAAGGTCTCAGATTAGTTTCACTACTAAAAGGCCATGAATAAGGGGGTTGGGAATGTACTTCAAAGCCTTAAATTTCCAGGTGATTAGTTCGGCTCAAACGCAGGTTTCCAGACAAAACAACTCAGTCATCTTCAGCCTGCAGTAGATTATCATTATTAATGGGAAGTGACTCTTAAGAAAGGGCTCAGCTGTGGGAGAAAAGACCCTCAAGAGTTTAATTACAACATACCTTGGCTTTATTACTGTCCTAAATAATCAGTACCTAAAGGCGACCTTACTGTAGAAAGGACAGCCCTGGGTGATTATCTACCCACTTGATTTACAGTAGAACTGGAAGCAAATTGTTTTATCTCTTTTTAGTACTTGCCCCACTTGAAAGGTGGGATTGGACTGGAATTAATCTATCTCATGAAATAGTAAATTATTATAAAATACTCAGGAAAGAATAGACTATAAACTACATAATGAAAGATTTACAGCAGTACTAGTACACAGGAACTTTTAAGATTTCTTCCTTGGGTTTAGGCCCAGATTCCCCTAGGGTCATAAAAATTTTCACTTTATCACGGGGTTTACCATGGATTAGAAAGTTATGACCAACCTAGATAGCATATTAAAAAGCAGAAACATTACTTTGCCAACAAAGGTCCATCTAGTCAAGGCTATGGTTTTTCCAGTGGTCATGTATGGATGTGAGAGTTGGACTGTGAAGAAAGCTGAGCCCTGAAGAATTGATGCTTTTGAACTATGGTGTTGGAGAAGACTCTTGAGAGTCCCTTGGACTGCAAGGAGATCCAACCAGTCCATCCTAAAGGAGATCAGTCCTGGGTGTTCATTGGAAGGACTGATGTTGAAGCTGAAACTCCAATACTTTGGCCACCTCATGTGAAGAGTTGACTCGTTGGAAAAGACCCTGATGCTGGGAGGGATTGGGGGCAGGAGGAGAAGGAGACGACAGAGGATGAGATGGCTGGATGGCATCACCGACTCAATGGACATGGGTTTGGGTGGACTCCAGGAGTTGGTGATGGACAGGGAAGCCTGTCGTGCTGCGATTCATGGGGTCGCAAAGAGTTGGACACGACTGAGCAACTCAACTGAATTGAATTGCACTGAGGTAGTATTCAAAATTATGGGTTGAGATAGAAAACTAGGAAATACTATTTCTCTGTTTTTTAAGGTCAATTAAACATATTGTTGAAGGCAGTGGAGCAGATAGTTACGTCTGATGGGAATTTTAAATGTTAAGCTGGGATTAAAACCTGCCTTTTGGTTTGTATTAGGCTTCCCTGGTGGCTCAGACGGTAAAGCGTCTGCCTACAATGCGGGAGACCCGGTTGCAATCCCTGGGTTGGGAAGATCCCCTGGAGAAGGCAATGGCAACCCACTCCAGTATCCTTGCCTGGAAAATCCCATGGACGGAGGAGCCTGGTAGGCTACAGTCCATGGGGTTGCAAAGAGTTGGACATGACTGAGCAACTTCACTTTCTTTTCTTTCTTTGGTTTGTATTACAGTCTCAGGCAGTCAGATGTTAAACAAAACCTCTATTATAACTTGAAATTGATATAGCACTGAAGTTTGATCGTGTAGAAAATCTAAAGTCTACCAGACATGGTGAAAAGAATTCTATTCATCATTTAGTTTGTTCAGTTTTGTTATTTTTCACTTAATCCACTGAAGAGTTGGCCAGCCCCCTGACTTTAAGCATTAGGTGGTGCTTGAGGAACCATTGCTTTACCTATGATTATATGTCTGTGAAAGAGTTAACCAAAAGAAGATACATGGGAGATTGGTATGTAATTTATTCTTCCAGTTGGGCAATCTAAATGACAGTGTTCCTCAGATTATACTCCCAGAAAATTGGCACAGGAATAGAGCAGAGTCATTCTTGTAATTGCCAAAGAAGTGTAAGTCACAGACAAGGAGGTCAATATAATAAAGGGTGGAGCAGTACCTGACTTACGTTTAACTGGATTACCACAAAGTGAGTCCCACACTGTCTGAAATATGACAGCACAGTAAAAAAATTGATTTTCCAGAATTAGGGACTTAGACTTCCCTGGTGGTCCGAGGGCCCTGGGTTGAATCCCTGGTCAAGGAACCTGATCCCATATGCTGCAGCTAAGACTTGGTGCAGACAAATTAAATAAAAATTTTAAAATTAAAAGAATTAGGGACTTGTTACCTGTGGTGACACAGTAGGAGGTTGTGATTGTGATTGTGTGTGTGTGTGTGTGTGTGTGTATTTTGGGGGGGCTCCTCCTCACAGCTTGCAACATCTTAGTTCCCTGGGGTTACAGCAGTGAAAGTGCCAAATCCTAACCACTGGCCAGCCAGGGAATTCCCTACTTGTATTATACTTCTATTTAAAGCAGTTAACCTTTAAAAAATTTTTTTTCCTGGCCACATGCTTCCGGGTCTGGAGGATCTTAGTTTCCCCAGCAACCAGGGATCAAACCTGTGACCCCTGCATTAGGAGCCCCGAGTCTTAACTATTGGACCGCCAGAGAAGTCCCTAAGCTATTTTCAATGAAAGTACTATCAGTCATTGTAAAAAAAGAATTCCATCAGTGCAAAAGTATATCTAAAGCAAAAGGTCACATTCCCTGTTTCACAGGAGAAGTAAGTGTGTAATCTTTCCAGTTTTCTGTGACTATACCCACCATATTTTTCATGCATATAACATTTGCATCTACACTCCCTTTATTTTTACACATATTATTCATAGTCTGCATCCTGATCTGAAGTTTCTTTTTTCACTCAATTGAATATTCCAGGCTGCTTTTTTACCTCAGAATGCAGCTCTATCTTAATCTTTTTAAAGATGCTAATTTTGTGTATTTAATGTATAATTAACCAATTACCTATTGATGAACATTAGATTGTTTCAAGTGTTTCTATAACAAGTACTGTTGCAATAAACACCCTAGTAAATATATACCTTTTTACATGTGTCAATGTATCTGTAGATGGAGTTCCCAGAAATGCAATGGCAGAGTATGAGTATGAACCTTTTAAGTTTTAATTGTTGTTTTTCAGTCACCCAGAAATGGCAGACTCTTTGTGATCCCATGGACTGCAGCATGCCAGGCTGCCCTGTCCCTCACCATCTTCCAAAGTTTTCCCAAGTTTATGTCCATTGCATCAGTGATTCCCATCCAGCCATCTCATCCTCTGACGCCCTCTCCTCTTTCTGCCCTTAATCTTTCCCAGCATCAGGGACTTTTCCAATGAGTTGGCTGTCTGCATCAGGTGACCAAAATACTGGAGCTTCAGCATCAGTCCTTCCAATGAATGTTCAGGGTTGATTTCCTTTTAAGAT